CAGGAGTTGGAGGTTGCTGTGAGCTGTGAAGCCATAGCACTCTACCCAGGGGGATAGCTTGAGGCTCTGTCTCAAAATAATAATAATAATAATAATAATAATAATGGGCAGCACCTGTGGCTCAAAGGAGTAGGGCACTGGCCCCATATACCAGGGGTGGCGGGTTCATACCCAGCTCTGGCCAAAAACTGCAAAAATAAATAAATAAATAAATAATAAAATAAAATACTTCATAGATATGGGATTTTTCTATGTTGCTAAGCTGGCCTTGAGCTCCTGATATCAAGTGATCTTCCTGCTTTGGCCTCCTAAAATGCTAGGATTATGGGTTTGAGCCACCATGCCTGGCCTCACTTGATTTGTATAAGCATCTGCAGACCTGCAGTGTCTCATTCTGTTTTGGGGGAGCTGAGGAAACAGAGGCTCAAAGAGAAAATTGTACTTGCCTAAGTCCACTAAGCAAATCGTTGAATGATTTCTAAAGCCTGGGCTCTTGACCACAATTGGAGAGATGCCAGGAGAAGCATACAGACCTTTATTTCCATTGCCCTTTCCTTGTCAGACATCAATAATCAATCTCCATATTATTCTTATTTCTCTCTCACCATCCTCTCTCACTTCCCCCTCTCTGTTTTTGCTCTCTCTATCTCTCCCCAGCCCGCTTTGGCTCACCTCAGCAAAACACTGAGAGGCGGGAACCTCCAGCTTCTGCTGACAGTGACTAAAAATAACCTCGCAGGTATCTTGTTCTTCTTTGACTGTTCAAAGACCTTTTTATCTATTCTCATTTTATTCTCTAGACCAAGGCAGGGGACCAGCAAGAGAGGGCTCTGGAATTCAAAAGCTGCCCTATCATGTTCTCTTTTCAGACCCCAATCTGTCCTTCCCCACAAGCCAACTCACCCTGTTCTCCAGCCACAAAAATCAGCATCTGAAGCGTCAGAAAGCCCAAGGCCCAGACAAACATGGTCCCCATCCTGGACCTGAAACAAAACGGAGAGGGAGGGAGGAGTGAGCCATGATACAACCCTCCCTGACATTCAGCTTGGAAGGATGAATTTCAATACTGCCACTCTACAGATCAGGAAACCAGGGCTTGGAGAGGCCAGTGTATTATTGGAGGTCACAGAGTAAGCATACAAAAATTTGAATCCAGGACCACATAACTTAAGGATCTAAGCAGTGATGCTTCATGATCAGAAGCATGGGTGCTAGAGTGAATCAGAGCTAGGGTTGGCTCTCTGCCTGTTCCTTGCTGTGTGACCTTGGGTAAGTATCTTAACTTCTCTGTGCCTCACTTTCTTCCTAGATCAGATGGGGCCAACATCAAGTAGTTGGAAGGAATGAACGAGTCAATACATATAAAATGCTTAGAACTGCCTGGCATAAAAGAGTATATTTTAGCTGTTGCTATTATTATTATTGACCTTAGTACAGCCAAAATTGAAATTCCAATTTTTCAAATCAGCCTCCCCCATCAGAGCAGGGGTTCCTAGAGGGCAGCAGCCAGTTGCAATTCTCCCAGGGTCCCCAGTCCAGGCAGCAGGCTGGTCTACAAGCCAGCCTTTAATCTGGGTTTAATGTGAAGTCTGGAAAGGCAAAGCTGTATCCCAGCTGACTGACACGATTCTCAGCTTTAATTCCAGGATTTGGTTGTTACCAAGATTCTATTCTTGGTTTCTGGGATTTTTTGAGGCGCTGCCAACTCCCAGCTGGAGGAAGGGGCCTCACCCTTGCCCACCCCATCCTTCTGACTTCATATGGCTTGATGAAGATTTTTCCTAGGCACACAGAGAAATTGCAATTGTGAGTCCAGTTCTCCATAAAGGCTGTGACCCATGGGCATAAACTGGACAATTGCTGAGTGCTTCCTGTGAGCAAAGCCCATTCCAGATGCTGGGATACAGCACTGCCTTTCCAGATTTCATTCTTCCAGAATCTAGAAATCCTCCAGAGAGGGGCCCCTCCCTAAGCCTCCTACCCCTCCGGATGGCACTCACCAGAGCTCAGGAGGTGGACACAGATGGAGAATTAGAACATCATCTGCAAATCCAGCCTTTGCACTCTGCTCCCATAAGGAAATAACTGTGAGGAAGGGGGATTGGCTGGAGTCTGGAATGGCTGGAGCTAAACCCCTCCCTTCTTTCCAGTTTTTTTTTTTTTCTTTTTTTTGAGACAGAGCCTCAAGCTGGGTAGAGTACTGTGGCATCACAGCTCACAGCAACCTCTAATTCCTGGGCTTAAGTGATTTTCATGCCTTAGCCTCTCCAGTAGCTGAGACTACAGGTGCCTGCCACAATGCCTGGCTATTTTTTGGTTGTAGTTGTCAGTGTTGTTTGGTAGGCCTGGGCTGGATTCGAACCCACCAGCTCTGGTATATGTGGCTGGAGCCTTAGCCACTTGAGCTACAGGCGCCGAGCCTTCTTTCCAGTTCTTAAGAGTCTCCAGGCCAGGCATGGTGGCTCACGCCTGTAATCCTAGCACTCTGGGAGGCTGAGGAGGGTGGATTGCCTGAGTTCAGGAGTTTGAGACCAGCCTGAGCCAGAGTGAGACCTTGTCTCTTAAAAAAAAAAAAAGCTAGGTGTTGTAGCGGGCACCTGTAGTCCCAGGTACTTGGGAGGCTGAGGCAAGAGAATTCCTTAAGCCCAAGAGTTTGTGAGCTCTGATGTTACAGTACTCTACTGAAGGCAACAAAGTAAGACTCTGTGTCAAACAAACAAACAAACTCCGGCTGGGAGGCACAGCCAGAGACCTGTCCATGGTGCTGAACAGTGAGGTTTCAACGCTACAGCACTGCCCATCAAGTTTGCAAACACAGTATCTTTGGGAGCCCAGAAAGGGCTAGTGGTTTGCCCCAGGCTGCACAGCAGGGCCAAGGTCCAGGCCAGGTCTTGGACTGGTGTCCCCAAGCACCAACCTGTAAACCTCAGCAACATCTGCCCATATTCAGTGTATCCTCATTTCTTTCCTTTGGAACTCTGTGCTAGGGTGGGGGTCCCCTGCAGGCTCTTCCAGCTTTGGTCAGGTATTAGAGGGTGTGTCAGGACTCTGGGTTGCACTTGCCCACACTAGGGCCTTAGGAGGGGGGCCCAGAGAATTCATATTCCCATTCTTTCTCTCTCTTCCTCATATCCCGTATAGTTAAGAGCTCAGACTACATCCAGACAGCTCTGCCTCTACTCCTGAACTAGCTGCTTTAATCTCTCCATTCCTTAGTTTCCCCACCTATAAGATGGTGATGATCCTGCAAATATCTCATAGGATTATTGTAAGAATGAAATGACCTAAAACTTGTAAAGTCCTAGAAATGTTAAATTTAAAAACAGCTCTGGCAGCACCTGTGGCTCAGTGAGTAGGGCATCAGCCCCATATACAGAGGGTGTCGGGTTCAAACCCGGCCTCATCCAAACTGCAAAAATAGCTGGGCGCTGTGGCAGTAGTCCCAGCTACTCAGGAGGCTGAGGCAAGAGAATCACCTAAGCCCAAGAGCTGGAGGTTGCTGTGAGCTGTGATGCCACAACACTCTACCAAGGGCAACAAAGTGAGACTCTGTCTTAAAGAAAGTAATAAAAAAATAAAAAAATAAGAACAGCTCAAAGTCTCCTGTACATACTAAAAATATACCAACTGAGTGAGGTGGTTCGACATGGTGATAGACATAGTTCCAGGTGAACCCCCCCCCACACACACACACCTTCCCACTGCCTTCTACTTGCACCCTCACACACCTACATCCTTGTCTTAAAATACTTCCTCCCTGGGGCTACCAGAGGGTGAGCATTTACACAGCTATCTAGGGCCCATCCTCTCATGAATAATGTAGGTTGGTACTCATACATATGCAAATAGGGGCCTTTGGGTTGCTGGGGGAGGGCAGCCCAGATTAATGTGATTGAGAATCTGTGTGTGTCTCTCCCTTCACTCCCACTTCCAGTCTGGGTGGGCACTGAGTGAGGGTGAGTTTGCCAGGAGATGTTTTTTGTGTGTTTGTGACTGGGTATACATCAGGAGTTCTGTGTCCACCCAAGGACATGCATGCAGTTGTGCCCTGTGGTCTGTGCAGCCTGAAGGAGCTCATGTACTGGGTGGAGTGCACAGAACCCAGTGTGATTTCTGGATGTGTGGGTCTAAGTGTCCCTCAGGAGGGGCTGTGTGCACATAAATGTATTTCTGGCTTGAGAGAGTGTATTAGTGTGCACAGGTGTGAATGAAGAACTCTTTGGAGGAGAAATGAAGCCAGGCTCAGTAAATTATTCCAGGCTGCACCTTGGGGACTTCAACCCCTGCCCAACCTTGCCCCATAAGCTCCCTAACTCCTCTCACACAAACCACATCCCACATCCCCACTCCCAGGGCTCACATCGCCACTTGCATGGAAAGGACTCTTGCCACACATAAACACACACAGGACACACACACACAGACAAACACCCCAGACACAAGACCCTGGGAGACACACAGATTCACAGTGACATTAACAAAGAGAGGCAATATGGGCATTCACAAGACAGGCAGCATGTCTTCTGCACAAAGACACACACCCACAGCCTCCAGGCATCCCCACAGAAACCCCTCCATGAACTGATCACCATCAGACATAACCCTTCACTTGTATTCATGCTCATGATTCCAGCCCTGGCACAAACCAGAATGGATAAATGTGGCCTCAGTGACTGATGGGTGCTCATCATTTTGCCACATGGCGATGTGGCCCCCGGCATAAGTTCTTTGACAAAGACACAATCGCAGTCATATTAGACTCACAGGGGACCCCAGACCCCCTGGGCACACTCTCTCTCCCCTGCCTGCTTAGGGCAAACATACACACAAAGCCTCCCCCCTCTTTTGGGGTGGAACTTTCATTTGGGAATGTCCATAAGCAATTGACAATGCTGGTTTCTGGGGTCCCAGGGTGCATTCCTCCCTCCCTGCTCTGCCCCCACATCCCCCCTGCCAGGGCCCAGTGCCAACCCTTTCCTCACTCTGGCTGTTCCCACTGATGCTGTTTGAAAGGAACAAAGCCCTCAGTGCTCCTATCCAGAATGGGCCTAGGGTTCCAGTCCCCTACTTCCCAGCACCTGTGTCCCCAAACCAAGCCAGGGCATCCAAATGCACCTATAGGAACTGAAGAGACAAGGGTCTATGTCATGCTGTGTGGATTTGCACAGATATGGAGATGTGATAGGGAAGCCCCCTTTTTTGTGCTAGCATCCCTTTTGGATCCTGGGATCCATAACTGGGGGTTCCCACTCAGCATTCACATGGAATACACAGTGTGCTCCCTGGGAAAAGGGACAGCACCTCAAATCCAGGTCCAAAGGAACAACGGAGAACCATCTTGGGAAGGGGCCCCACAGAGCCTGCTCCCTGAGTCAGAATTTGGTGACAGGACCTGGCCTGAAAGGGCAGGGAGACAACAGGGCATCCCTTCCCCATGGCCATTCACTTTTAGCACAGACCCCCTTCCACTGAGTTCAGTCTGAGGGGCCCCCTCTCCACTGCAGTTCAGCTGAGGAATCCTCCATTCACCTGCAAATTGGGAATCCCCACTTAAAATCCTGGGGTGTCTCAATTCAGACACCGGGGTGCCCTGTTCTGGAATTCACAATTCAGCATCTGGGTGTCTTTCTCTTCTCTCCAAACTCAGGGTGCTCCTTCCCTAGCCATAGTTCCCATCATCCCCTCCCTAGTTCTGAGACCCACCCCCAACCAGGCTCCCTCCCCACCTTGGGGTTGTCTCTGCCTTCCTTGGACAACCTTACCCCCAAGTGCCTGTCCCCCTGACATCCTCAAGCACCCTCCCAGTTAGCCCTTCCTCCCCATCCTGATGCTCCCCTCCCCCATTACCCCCTCCTCATTCTGGGGGCTTCTCCCTGATCTCAGACCCCTTCCCCAATCCCAGGCTCTGTCTCCAATCCCGAGGTCTTCTCCCCCAAGGCCATCCCCTCCCCACGACGGACGCCCCACCTGGCTCCTAGCTCGG